GGGGGGAGAGATGGAAGGCTAGCACCATCAGAGGCTGTTAAACCAGAAGTAAAAGCAGTCAAACCGGAAGTAAAAAGAGGAGTGCTGGTGGCCGCAAACTTCCGGTCGCCCGCTCTCCCAATTTCTCTAAGCGGCCGGCTGGCTGTGTTACCGAAGACGGATGCCAGACAGCTGTACATAGCCGGCGCGGAGCGGTAACCTCCGACAAGCTCCCTTATTCATGGCTGGTCCCGTGGGCCCCCCCTGGGGTCGGGGCTCCCGTAGGGTGGGTAGCCCCCGCCGCTCCGCCACTCAACTCAAACCCTTTCGGGTACGGCTCGGTGCGAGCGTATACGTTTGGCAACACTGCCAATATATATATTTCCCTGTCTTTTCGTTTCTTTTTCTGTGTCCTCAGCCCTTCTCTTGTCTAGACGGTCGCCGCCCTGGAGAGCGCCTGGCGGGTAGACCGCCCCGCAGAGCACCCCTGCGCCGCGGGACAGGCTACCTGCCGGCGCGCACCGCGCAGCGCTCGCTCGCCCGCTACAGGAAAGGGGTACAGTTTCACCAGAGTAATTTAGTCTGCGGAAATCCTTACATATCAAAGGAGATTCGAAACCATAGCACTCTCGCTAGACGACACCGAACCACCCTTGCCTGCCAAGACTGCGGCCGTTGTCTTTCTGCGTCGGTCTATGGGGCTTGTTGTGAGCTGGCCAGACCAGACCGAGACGAGCGGCGAGCCCGGAAGAAATCAAGTCCCTTGTTGAGTACCAGCGGCAGAGCGGCACAGTTTGTTTGTCCTCGTAGGCGTAGCGCTGCCGATTGGTGTAATTTCTGGGTAGGGTCCTAGGTCCTACTAGCCTTCCCAGCATATCATTTTCTTTTCGCAAAATTCTACAATTTTTAGTTTATCACACACACACACACACACTCACTCACACACTCACACACTCACACACTCACACTGGGAAAGCAAAGGAAGGAATCATCACCCTTCTCCGGGTGCTAGTAAATTTCGTGCCTTTGCAGAGGCACTAAAAAATTCACACCCCTGGAGTATAAAGGCTCTATGACACTTAGTCTCGCAACTACTTTTGTTTTTCCAGTGCACTCACTCTCACTGACGAATGCCGCTATTTCGCATCCTGGCCGTTGACAAACGATATGCAATAATGAGAACTCCTAAACACTCATCATCGGGTCGAGGAGTGATCTTCTGGAGAGTTCCCCGGTCACCCCCGCCGCCCGCCTGAGGGCCCTGGGACCCCCCTGGGGAGTCTCCATTGTGGTCGCCACGCCCCGCCCCGCCACGCCCCGCCACGCCCCGCTGCTGGACAGGAGGGTGACACCGCCTGCTGCAATTCCGACACGATTGTGTGTGCGCGGCCGGCGCGGCTCGGAGCGGCCCCTTTCGATCCGACCGCTACGCTGCGACGAAAAAAAGGAGAAAAAAGAATCTGTTGGCAGCGCGCGCTAGCGTGCGTATGGGTCCCTAATCCAATCCCCGCTCCCCCTCCGCCGCAGCCGCCAGCCGCACAGTGGAGCCAACTGATTTTCAAAGGGCGACGTCTCCTCGGTCCCAGGTGGCCGCCAAGGTGCCGGCCGCACGCTGCTGGACTGGACGGGCTTACCAATGCAGAAGAACAAATTTCATCAACCAATTTCTCGCGACTGTATTTTCTAAAAGTTTATTTTTCTTGAAACTTTTTGTTGTGTGTGTGGTCTTTTTTCACCCTTTTTTTTCCGTTCAAGTTACCCGGTGTTTCAGTGTAGCGGGTTATTTGCCTAGTCCCTGTCGGTTGGGCGCCATGGCCCGCCTGCGGGACAAGAGGGTGATGTGCACCCAAAGAAATTAATTTAAGAAACAATTGTTTCTTGCCGACACAAGATCAAATTATTCACTCTTTGAACCAAGGTAATTTTGTCATTCGAGATAGATTTTGATCTTGTTGGAAAGAAAATATCAGCTTGATCCGAGACTAAAGTTGATCTTCTGTTGGCTTTAATACTTGAATCTAGGAGAAATGTACTTAAAACAAGAAACAGTTTTTCTGGGTGTGTAAACCTGTCGAGAAATCAGTGATTTGCGAATCGCGTTTTTAAGCCAATGTGTGTGTGAGTGTGAGAGAGGGGCGGGGGTTGATCGTCATCAATATTATCAACTTCTCTACGGCATGAGGAAAATCTCGCTGCAGATTTCCTAGAACCTCTCGGACAGTGTCTCAGCTCAGCCCACACAGCGGTCGGTCTTTGGTCTTATCAGATGCAGGGCTCGCTGATGCCTTAGGAACCGTGTCATGGTCGGACGGGAATCAGCGAGTGAGAGAGAGAGAGAGAAACGAAGAGGCAAAGAGAGGAGAGAATAGAGAGAGGCGATGGGGAGCGCGAAGAGGGCGTGGTGAGTGCGGGGCTGGATCCTCTGGTCGGCAAACGAATGTCAGTCTAGTAGTCGCCTTGCTGCTGATTTCGTTTACACGAATCTGCGAATGGAATTGAATTGTGCCAGCTCCGGGTTTTTCCCCTCTTTCTCTCGCCTCCCTCTCAGTCTCACGGCAAATACGCGACTTTGATTTCCCCGCCCGCTCGGCCCGCTCCTCATTGAGACGAGTCGACCGTTATCAGGCGACGATTTCCTGCGCAGCCAAACGAACAAGGACGAACATTTCTGGAACACTGACTAAATGAGGTATTTCTTTTGCGATGAAAAGACGGTCCGGGAGAGAGTGTGGAGTGGAAAGGGTGGGGGCGAAGCGAAGCAAAAGAGAAGGGGATGAGGGAGCGCAGCAGGCCCCGGGCCTCTCTGCTCCCCACACGGACCTTGCGGAGAAACAGGGCGGGTTGGGTTGTTCTGATTGCATTCAGAACAGACTGGTGCAGTTTACGGATTGCATTAGGGGGCCTACTGCTTGCATGCAAGTGCCTCCCCCTCCCCCCCCACTAACAGGGGACCCACAGCACGTCCGCACGTTGGGAACAAGGGCAGAGTCAGGAACCGGAACACCGGGAAAAAATAGAAGTTAAACATATTGATTGGACAATTCCAATTTTTGCAAAATGTCAAAGTGCGATAATTTTGGCAGAGAGGTGAGTGGTGTCGCCGCTTATTTTCTTCTAAATATCAAGATCCTTGTATTGAACTCGAGGATTGTTTCAATCTCACAGTAACCACATTTCGAAGGAAAAGCAGTCCTCATCGCCATTTTCAGAGCCGAGCCGAGACAAGTTGAACTGAGCCTGGCCGGCCAGAGCTGATTGTGAGATAGCAGTGAGATGAGATGCAAGAGGCGCAGAGGTAATGGTCCAGCGGAGGAGGCTGGCGGTACAGAATGCTCATCATAACTCGCCACGACGACCAGATTCATTAAAATGTGATGATGCACTTGGATCTGCCGCCGGAGAGAGGGAGAGAGAAGCGGGAGGTAGAGTAAGAGGGAGTGAGAGAGAGAGAGAGACAGCGCGTGGTGTGGTAGGTGACATGGCTTGTTCATCTTAAGTTTGAGTAGGGCGCGGTGGGGCGTGGCGGCCCCCGCGCGGTGGACCCCGCCCTGCTCGACAACTTTCCGGGCTTCTTATCTCCAAAGAGAAGTTGCAAAATTTTCCTTCGAGTTGCGGTGGGTGCCCCCAAAGTGGCGTAGCACAGGGGCCTAACTGCCGGGGCGGGTGCGTGGCGGGGCGTGGCGGGGCGTGGCGGAGCGTAGCGAGGCGGGGCGTTCCGGCTAGGTGGCACCCCGACCTGGGCCACGAGGCTCAGGGGCTTCAAAGAGAGCACCGTCTTCTTGTTCGACAAGGGGGAGCAGAGACTCCGCCCCGGGGCTGGGGAAGAAAATGACAGCACGACCTTGGGACGGCGAGGGGGGCGAGCTAGTGAAGCGGCGAGGGGCGGGGGCGACTGAAGGGGGGGGGGGGGTGCCGATTGAATGCGAATAGGTGCATCTCCGGCGGAATGGCTGAGCAGAGAGGAAGACGGACTGCTGGCTTTAACGTCGCGGGGAAGGGAGGGACCGCCACGACTGTCTCATCCATCCGACATCAGCCCTCTCTCTTTCTCTCTCTCTCTCTCTCGCGCGCGCGCTCGGCTGGCGCCCGGACTGGTCATAGCGGCTTGCTAGATCTTGATAGAGCCCCGCTCCAGGACGCCACGCCTCGCCGCACTAACCAACAAGGACGTCCCTCAGCGCGGGCCGACTGCTGTCACTTCAACCCCGACGGCGGCTTGTTCGCGAGGTTTACTAGAATATCTGGGGGAATGTATAAAAACAAAAACGTTTGTCTTCAAACGATCTTTTTCCTCCTGTCCCACGCTTGTTTCGCAAGCCGCAACTGTGTAGGGTGGCGGGAGGCCAGGGGTGTTCCCGTTGCAGAGAGTGGTTTTATGGTTTGTTTTACTGTTGTTCCGTTAATCGGGGGTCAACGAGGTCGCTAACGGAGACCGCTTCTTAACGGACGGACAAGTTAACAGGCGGAAAACGAGCGGAGAGACGTTCACCCTGAAAAGAACGGAGGGCAAGAGAGAGGGAGTAAAAGAGAGATCCTGCTCCAGCATGTGTTTCCACGGTGTCCTATTACCCCTCCCACCTCCCTATGCCCTTTTCTCTCTCTTTCCCACTCTTCTCCACTCTCCCTGTTTTG